CGCGCGCGAACGTCGCCGCCATGATCTGCCGTGCCGTGCGTGACGACGACATTAACGCCCGCGACTTCACAGGTGCAGAGGAGACGCGAAGCGAGAGTGACCGCGGAGACGACGCCATCTTCATCCACGGCTTCACGTCCTCCTCCTCCTTCTGGGCGCAGACCGTGTTCCCCGAACCCGCCGCCGCGAACCACCGCAGGCTGATCGCCGTGGATCTCCTCGGCTTCGGCGACAGCCCCAAGCCGGTGAACTGCGCGTACACGCTGCGAGACCACGTCGAGGCCATCGAGCGGAGCCTCATCGACCCGCTCCACCTGGGCTCCTTCCACCTCGTCAGCCACTCGATGGGCTGCACCATCGCCATCGCCCTGGCCGCCAAGCACCCGGCGCGGGTCAAATCGGTCACGCTCGTCGCCCCGGTACGCACGCCGCGCACCCGATCGGAGCTCTGAATTATTCTGAGATGTACTTCCTGCTTAATGGATCGATCGCGTCGTGTTGGTGGCAGCCGTACTTCCTGCCGTGCGAGGAGAGGGCGAGCCAGGTGGCGCTGCGCAGGCTCGCCGAGAAGAAGCTCTGGCCGCCGTTGCTGTTCGGCTCGGCGGTGATGTCCTGGTACGAGCACATCGGGAGGACCATCTGCTTCGTCGTCTGCAAGAACCACCGGTTCTGGGAGTGGCTCATCAAGATCGTCACGCGCACGAGGTAAGCGATCAGATCAATCACGATTAACTCGGATTAATCCAGAGCCCAGACATGAACAGGAACACGTTTGCCTGGATCTCTGCCATTTTGCTCATGAATGTGCTTCATGTTGGTGCGTGCAGCGGCGTGGACATCGTGGTGAGGGACCTGACGAGGCACACGCACCACTCGGCGTGGCACACGATGCACAACGTGATCTGCGGCGGGGCGAGGGCGCAGGACCGGAACCTTGAGGCGCTGGCGGCGGCGGGGGTGCCGGTGAGGGTCGTCCACGGCGACGGGGACCAGGTGGTTCCGGTCGAGTGCAGCAGCCGCCACCTGAAGTCGAAGCTCCCGCACGCGGAGCTGCGTGTTGTCGGCGGACGCGACCACCGGACGGTGGTGTTCGGCAGGGAGGAGGAGCTGGCCCAAGAGCTCCGGGCGTTCTGGTCGGGCTGCGAGAAGGTAGGGTGTGCAGGCTAATGGATTCTGGATAGTCATAGTGTACAGAACTACATGAGGAAACTTTTTTTAACACAATTACAGGAGGAAACTGTAGGAAACATGTTGTTCTTCTGTTGACAGCAGCGGGATTCTTGCTCGTATTTTTTTTTAGAATGAAGGCATCACGCCATGTTCTATTTTTCATTTTTTTTAGCATAAGTACAAACACAAGCGCTCATATACACGTGCATACACTCATCCCTATGAATGCACACACGCACACCCTACCCCTATGAACACCTCCGAGAAACTGAGCCGGCATATCATCTTGAGATTTACGAAGTCACCGTAGGTGCCTCGTCGTCGACGGGAATGTCTCCTCCCACTGAAAGCACATCGCCGGAATCCTGAAATAAATTCAGAAATAATGCGAGCACCAAGATTTAAACCTTGGTGGGTTGGGGATACCACTGTCCACCTAACCAACTCAACCACAGGTTGATTCGCATGTTCCATTTTTCATTGAAATGAAGCAAAATCTATACAAAATCATCCATTAGAGCTCCCCTACAATGG